CTGAAAAGCGAAATTGGGTCCCTTGTTTACTGAAACATGCCATGTATCAATTCGTCATAGTTAGCATCAATTCACCGTACGGCGTTCGCTACGTAATTCCTTATAAAAAAATTCAGTATAAATATCAATAATTCAATGTCTAGATCCATAATCTTGTGAACTCTTTGGATTCGGCCTATTTATTCATTCAATCTCTATAATCTCAATAATATAGTTAAAAATACTTCAAACCAAGTTTCCATTGTTAAAAAATCTTTCAACAGCGTCATCGCTCGTAAAAGTCCACTAGATCGCTTTGAAAACATGTGCTACGCATAGCAAATGGTAAGGATGTGAGAATGACTGGCGGAAAAAAAGTATTAGTGAGAGTGTGTAATTGACGAGTCAGCATGCACGTGTAAGGGACTGGATTACATATGTGCAAGTCACATGTTTCCTGATGATGTCCCCGCCCACCAAGGGTCTCCTCATTTGTACTTATCCGATTCTGATGATATGGCTCTTCAAATTAATAACCTCATCTCGCATCCACACCCAAGAGCTTTTATCTGCCGCCATATATACTCGAGGCTTGAGAACTCCATGGGTTTTCAGTTGTCTTTTTAGAAAATATGACTCTTTCGGTCGTCTTTGTTTTTGATATATATACACACAGACCCGACTTAACTAGCTTCACGAATAGGAATAGCTTGGAAAATTAGCTTCAATTATATCTTATTTGGATTCTTTACTGCAAAATACTTACGAATGGATCGCTGTCCGCCAAAGAGCATCAAAGTGGGTTTCTCCAGCTTCTTCTGGGCATGGAGGATGGCCGTGCTTTCAGGGAAAAAGTTAAGAGAGGCAAGGACCATATCCATTTCTCTCTATTTTTTTTGCTTTTCAAAAGATATACTTGATCAAGGGAGAAAACCCTGGCTCAAACTCAGGAAGATGTCAGGAGAAAAGGGAAGAGGCAAGATTTTTTCTCTTCTTTTCATGTCCTCAGCTGCCTCACTAAGAACAACTTACTTTTGATGGATATTTGAGTCTTCTCTTTCTCTCGGATCTCCCATTACGAAAATACAATTATAAGTGTAGAGCGTGTAACTTAATTCCTTGACGATGAGTGCGTTATCCTCTGTCATCAAGGTAGAGACAGCAGAAGTCTTTTTGTTGCCTCCTGTTAACCCTTCAACATGTTGTCAAAAGCCGCAACAGACATTGTTTTGTTTTGTTTTTGGGTGTGGTCTGAATTTAATCTTATAACCTTAGGATCACGTTATTGGATCAACATGTATGTCTCTCAACCAATTAAACAGAATGAACATTTGAGTTGAAAGATCGCAAAAACAAACATTCTCGGATCAGTAGTTAGGTTATAAGTCTAATTAACCTCGAAGATATTGCTCATGGTTACCTGGACCTTGTATCTAATGGCCACTACGCAATCACATCCAACTCTTTCCAAAGTTACACAAAATAATAATAAAGGATGTCAAAATAGAGCTGAGATATGAGCCAACCGAGACATTCGTCGGGTTGGCATACGCTCATTATATATTTTTCCATAGGTTGGAAGAAAAAGGATCCGGCGGCGTACGTAACAAACAAAAAGGCAAAAAGATAAGCCCATCGGGCATAAAGTATAACAAATCATGCATTAATTAATCAATCACAGGGATGCCCCTATGGCTGAATTAGAGCCAGTAAAGAGATTCTCGATCATCAGCAAACATTAGGAAGAGAAGTTACACTGGGAACTTGGTAACATCAACAATGACTAATAAATTTATTAATCTTTTATATAAATTAAAAAAACCCCCACAGCTATCAATTTCTTGATTATATATTTTTATCAATTAGGGCCATTATGTGGATCGTGATTGGCGACCTCTGCGTGATCCACGATGTTTTCCTATCCCCTCATTAATCAAGAGGGCCATGAGAACATTTTGTCACTTTAAAACTAAATATTCGTTATATGATCATCGTTTGTTCTTCCTAGAAAGATTAAAGAGGACTTGATTGGTGGGTGATATCTAGCTCTCGTACCCATAAAAGCCAGAAAAGCAAGGAGTTGTCTGTGTCAATTATCATATTGGTGCTTGTCAACAGCTACCCGCTATGTTTGGATGACCCAGCGTTAACATATTTTGTAAATTATGTTTGGTGCTTCATCACCTATTATTAATTATCATTGAGATGCCTTGTGCAGCTAGCTAGCTTGCGTATTCTTCTACCAGCTCCCATTTTATTTAATTTGGCCAATCCAAATGAAGTTCCAAACACTGATGTTGAATACGGTCTTATCGTCAGCTTATGCACGGTGCATCGTGTGGATGCTATATGCAGTAAATTAATTAGGATGGATTCGGATTTCGGAGTTGGCATGCAGAGTGTGGACGCTCCCTCAGTCTTCCAAGCAGCCAATTAAGTAGGACAAAAGTGTTAATATATTTAATCCACAGGATAATGATAATGGTGCAAATCGACCAACATTTTCAACATCCTAGTTTTGAATATCACATCAAAGGTAATGTTTTAGTTGATTAGAGGCCCCTAAGGTCCTAATCGTCATTTCGGTTCGAAATCCCAGTTGAAATTCTTCTCACGGCTCTTCTCTTGCATGATTGCTTAATTTTAGTGGGGCTCCCTTAGCTGTCACCTTCCCATTAAGATACTGTAAATAAGCATTGGTCAAAATTTCAACCAAAACCATTATTGATTAATTGACATATACTAGCTTGTTATTTAAATTTATTTCAACTTTTTCAAAAAATAATTATATTTTGAATATGAAATTAATAATATCATTCTTCACTCTTTCACCCACTGCGATCTTGGACTCAGTGCATGCGCGCGCGTGTATGTGTGTGTATGTATATATCTTTAATCGCCCTATCATAACTTTTTCTAATATCAAAATCTCTGACTATGCGCAAACTTATTAAACCCTAAGGGACCTTTGGTTATTGTTTTTTTGGCTTGGAGATCTGATGACTAGTCCTCGTAGCTAACCTAATGACCAGGAATATTATCGAAGGCTATTGTTTAAAGGACTTTAGGGTGCTGACTGCGTTGAACTTGTACACATCTTCTTATCGAGTCTTGCTCAAGGACGATAGCGAACATGGATTTAAATCCATTTAATTGTTTGGATAATGATAGTGGTAGAAAATTATTTTTAAAAAATGTGTTAGACCTAATGAAGTGAGAAAAAAGGTGAGCCACGGAGGTCCACACCTAACGTAACGTGGTAGTCCAATCAGCGATAAGAAAAATAAAGAAATAAAAATGGGAAGACATGCCCGAAGGACATTGATCCTTGATCTGGGATTAGGCTCTGAAGTTTTAGCATCTTTTTTCAAATGGTATTTTAATTTTACGTGTTATGACGATATTCATGCCGCTAGCTCATTCTTACGGCTATGAAGTTATATAACTGGACTAGGGCCCTGGAAAGCCGCTGCTTACAAAGTGAATCACATGCAAGAGGAAAATGGATTTATAGCTTTAATAGTACCTTTGTTCTATATCCTCATATTTTGGGCCTGAATATAACTAATCCGTACTTGATTAATTTATGCCAAGTAAACGGCTTGGAGAATAACATCTGTACGCGAATTGTGCACCAGCGAATATACATAGCTGAAAAAGCTAGCTATTCCACGTACGTCTTCTTTTGATTCACTTTCCCACTTTGCACTTCCTCTCCTCGGCTAAATTAAACATGAACGTTTTAAATTTCATATCTTGTAATAACGCATACTATTGAAATAATAAAATTCAGGAAAATATAAATTTTTATATACACACGTAAAACTTGATCTGAATGGTCAAAAATTTAAAAATGAGAGATAAGGAATTATGTTGACTACATTCCACTATCATAATGTGGTGAACGCACATAATAGGATTCAATCCAATTCCGATCAAATTATTGCATACCGTTGGAAAAAAAAAAAAAGAACGTTTTTGCTTAAGTGAGCTTTTGCTCTGATGAGAACAACTAATTTTACAACCATTATAGGTGATCCCCAATGATTTTGCCGCCGAAAATAAATATCTATACAACGAACATCGGGTCCCAATTCTGGTTATTTTAATACGATAAATCTCATGCGTGGATAAAAATTTATAGCAATCATGCAGTTGATCTTTTCTTACTGATGATCATATACATCACAGACCTATAATTGATCAGGTTTCGATAATATCCATGAAGCCCTCAACATTTCCTAGTAAAAAACGTCTTGATAGCACAAGATACATGTATATTATACGATTGGAACAGGATCGATTGAATATTTGAATTTCATGAAAGACGTGATGACATTCTTAAATATTAGCCACATGAAAATTCTGATAACATTGTCTTTGGAAAGTGTTCCTAACCACTAGGGCCCTCCCTTATCATGGAGAATCCTTTTACGTCACTCTATTGACATTCATACTTGGTCAACTCTCCCTATGTGTACACAGACCGTAGCAGGCTAGCAGCTACTTAGGGCTATCGACCCTCGTAATTAATTCTCATTTGAGTTAATACACGACCCGTAAATTCTTGGCTTCAACGCTGATCCCTCCATCCAGAGTCGTTGGGTACTAGCTGTTGCAGGTTGAAATGTTTCACTTGCTCGGAATATATTATTTATCATGAATTACCAACTTTCAAAGTTGGGCAGATGAAAAGCTGAAATTTTGTTGTTAAATATTTTAACATCTGTGTACATATAAATGAATTACTTTCCTTGTGATTAAAGACTGATCCATTTCGGTTCAACTCGGGTCTCCTGTAATATCTTTTTTCCAGTGTTTTTGAAGTTGGGATTCTGAAATCGCACTTGCACCTGATTAAGTGTGCATGAAATTGAGTACCTCTGGCTGTCGTTATACTTAAAACTAGAAGAACATAGTGTGCCAATTGAAAATCTGACATATAGATCTACATGCGTTGGTACTGAAATTGAAAGGAGGCCGCTAGATAACTTTTTGGCTAATTACATCAGGAGGGCGTTGAAAATACCCGAGGGGTATAGCTTACAATTTACACTTTCAGCGGCAAAGCAAGCATATTCATATAAAACAGACACTATACATACTCAAGATCCCCACAAGAATACAGTGAATAGGTAACTAATGTTACGGGTCAAAGACTATCTTGAAGCTTATACACGTACTATTCCTTTTACACAAGTACAATACTAGGCACTAGGAAATTTCATGGAACAAAGGGTCCTCCAGCAGGAGGTCGGGCCACATGGAAGGACCACCTTCTCCATAATTAACAGTATTTGTCATTGCAATCTCTGGCACAGTGGAAGGAGATGCAATACTGCTTGAGCATGAAAGAAGCCACGGTGAATTGGGAGAACTTTCTCCCTGACTTAATGACGATGGTGGTTGATGAGAGTTACGTGGTGATTTCAACTCTGGCATGTGAGAGAACGAGTCGTATCCCAACTGGAGGTTGTTGACTCCAATTGGAGGCGGATTATTTATAACATTGTTTTCCGACTGGGTTGAAATTAAGGCAATGTTATTGTTCGTCGGATTCAGGGACTCCAGAAGGTCAATATTAATGGCATCCAAGTTCGTGAAGTCACGGTTTAAGTTGGCTTCAGTTGCAGAAGGTTGAGGCTGAGGATGAAAGAGATGTTGTAAGCCTTGAAGTCTGGCCAATTGAACAGCCTCTTCTTGCAGTCTCAAAGCAACACTCTGTTGCCATGGTTGATGGTCCAGAAGTCCTTTTAGATTAGCTAGAGCTACGAGATGAGGCAAACTTGAGAAAAGATCAGTTCGAGGTTGGTGTGTCATCGGATCATAACCCATTTGGATGAGCTTCTTCTTTAGATGGGTGTTCCAGAAATTCTTGATCTCATTATCTGTCCGTCCGGGTAGCTGGCTCGCAATCGCTGACCATCTTGTGAAAGTGAAATTTCAAAGTAAGCGGTTAGTTAGCTCTTCATGTCACAAATTAATTTAGTTGCTACAAAACAGCGTATGATAGTTTTGAAATTACTTGTTTCCCAGGATGGCATGGAGATTCAGAATCGTTTGTTGTTCTTCTTGAGAAAATTTCCCTCTCTTTATGTCAGGCCTTAAGTAATTCGTCCAGCGTAGCCTGCAACTTTTCCCACATCGGTTCAGCCCTGCAGAAGTTACAAGAAAAATTGATCACCCACTAAGTAAAGACTGTGGCCCAAGATTATATATACATACATACACATATATATATCAATATGAACATGGGTAGTATGCTTGCCTGCTAGTTTTGGAAGAGCTCTCCAGCTCCTATGACCATGCTCTTGAATGAAATTAACAAGCTTCTGATCTTCTTCAGGAGTCCAAGGGCCTTTCTTTAGACCAATCTCATCGCAGCACGGTGATCTTCCCATTTTTTACTATATACCTTATCCTTACCTTTCTTCTTCCTCTCCTTTCGGCTTTTGTTCCTTGTTCCCTCTCTTTCTTGCAATGAGAACCTGAGATGCTTATTTCAATTCAGAGACCATCCCAAGAAAGTGAGCTGCCTGCTTCACATCCGACCTTAAGTTGCAGCTTTCTATCTTATTTATAAGCCACCACTGCTTCTGTTTCCCCAGCCCCATCATAACAACTCCCAATACAAAAGTAACTGAGAAGATATTCTCATGTGGACTAGCTCCACAAAAGTAAGATTGTGGAGCAGCAGATCATAGGGCGACACGTTAGTCATGGCTGGAGATCAAGGCCCGATGATTCTAACTGATTTGTCAAATAATACAAGGTGTTCTACAATTATAGATCTGGTGCACACATGAATATTCCTACAAAAGACGTGTCGACTTTTTACTTGCCAGTTGAACAACCATACATCTCTTGCATGAAAAGACAGAAGCGCCCCTCAGCCTCCAGCTTTCATTTCATCAATATTTTAGTTTTGACTTCTTTTTTTCAGTGCACATAACGGGTCTGTGTCTGTCCTTTTTCGCTGGGCTAATTAATAATGAAAATGACCTCTCCTTGTGTAGAGGAGGGGGACCAACATGCACACCTCATTCGAGTTCATTGGCCATATGCATTTGCGATCGATGGCTTAAGTTGTCCAAAATTATTGGAAGCCATATATGATTAATTATCATCTCAAACTGGGAAAGGTTAAAAGGCAAATGCAGAAAGCTATTTAGGATATATGCATATTAATGGATCATAGTGGTTGTTGAATCTCTTATCAGTTAGTCACTAACCATTACTCTAGCTAGTCCGGTTTTCTTTTCACGTTTTGATTTTCCTTTCTATTTAATGCCATATGAGAGCGAGTGAACAAGTTCTTTTTACACGTCTTGTTCACCTTCATATTATCGCGCTTTAACCAACCACATTTTGCATATCAGACATGGAGGCAGAGCAGATATGATGAATGATGAATAAACCGACAATGGCTGGTATACATGAACTACCAAACCATTACGAAAATTGTAATGCTCGTTAGATGCTTTATATGAAAGCCAAAAATGCATTACAGCTGTTATTTTTTTCCCACGTATTAGATGTTGGCGATCAACCTCATATAAGTGCAACAAAAGCGAACTGAGGACAGACAATTATATATCTTGGTTATCTGTCATCACAAAATATTAAACTTGGATTAAGATAGAGACATGAGAGATTATGACCCATTGACCTTCCAAAGAGCTTGTTAGACGGGAAGTTGGTGTGGCGAACTTCTTAATTTCTGTACCCCTTTGAAATGTTCCGCATCCTTATGATGAAATATTGGGAAGGTAATTGGCTATTTTTATTCAATTACCCGGCCTGTCCTTGTTCCAGTCAGGGACAAAGACTTCATATTTTTTTAACCAAAAAAAAAAAAGGAAAGAGAGACTGAGAATATTGCGCGCACGTAGTACGTATACATACAAGAACAAGTAATCTGTCTTCTGGCGCCTGTCCACTTGAAGAATTAACATAAGATATATGCAATTCTGATTCTGTAATTACTCTTCCGTTACTAAATATAAGACCCTTGTATATACTAGTACCGGGGTCTTATATTTAGATCAGGAGGAGTAGTTATATATGCAAGTCTTGAAAGAAATCCTTCATCTGCTTGGTCGTAAAGCTATCTGCGGCGAGGGGTGCTTTGATCTTCTTATGTACTCGATGATGAAATTTCATTGATTTTCCATTATCGAGGGGCCGGGAGAAGACAAGGGCTCGATATATCGTAACCGCAGCAACATGCGGCGGTTTAAGTTTGGAAAACCACTGTTTAGAGACAAAACTCATACTTCGTGCCTGAATCAGGATGACGATCTTAAAAATGATAAATCCCAATCCATGGTTCCTCATGAAAGCATCTTTAACTTGTACGACTCGAAGGAGAGGTCATTTCGTACCATCTGTTAGTGGATCATTTCATGGTGGTTCCTTTTTCCTTAGAGATCTTTATTTTCCTACACACAGTGCTTGTTCATCAACTTGAAAGGTGTCGTTGTCGTTTATGCCTAATTATGTACGTACACACACACACACACATATATCTATATAGAGAGAGAGGGATTAGGGAGAGTTTGTGCGTGAGATTGCTTGTTCATGGACTTCATTAGTTTCTTTGTCGGGTGGACTACTCTCAGAGAAGAGAGAGAAAGAGAGAGGGCAGGTTTAACTTTAAGAGCGTTACTGATGTCACTTTAAACAGTGATGTTTGTTTTGCTCATAAGAAAAATCAAGCTTCCAATGTCAGTTAAACCACTGAATTGCTTGTTCGCTTAAGTTTCTACCAGTTACATCTAAACTCAGACTTCCTCGCCTCTCCTTGCCACGTATATATATTGGTTTTGCTTTTTCCATTTTCATGCGCAAAGACATTCTCCTACATTCTTAATTAATTATTTCAAAGATGCAAGTGTCTATCTACTGGAGCTTCTTAGGGTTGGGGGCCTTGGGGGAATAAAATAAAGAAATAATGGTAACAACTCTCAGAATTTCTAACGCAGAGTCTAGGCTACAAAATTAAAGAAAACGTAAGCATTTTCCCTATCATTACATGTTCAAGACCTTACCTCTGTATTAAATTATTGAATGCGAACTGCTTGGTTTCTTTTCAGTCCAAAACCTTCAATATATATAATCTCCTTCAAGAAAAGTTTTAGTTGGTTGTGAGCTATTCTGTTTCTTTTTAGACCTGATCGAGCAAATATCTTCAGCAGCCTCTCTGGTCGATCATGGTGCATTAGGTTAAGTTTGAGAAATCAATTTTATATATACGCGGGGAAAGATAGGAGGTGGTGCCATGAAAAGGCCAAAAGGCCACGGATCATGACAACCAGAATAATAAACGCTGCGTATAAAACTTCAATTGAGGCCAATTCTTCAGTTTGCCTCCATTGTATTTGAATAGAGTATAAATGCATATCTTGGATTTTTATGTCTTGGATGTCTTTATTAGATGAAATTTGTACTTAAAAATTCATCAGAAAAATGAGAATTGACAATTCATTTTCATGGATAGAAACAGAACCTTTTCTGCTTGAAAGTTCTAGATTTCCACACCTTTGAGAAACACATAAAATATATGCAATTTGAAGCCCGTTAGCTGCTTCCAACTAGCCAGTTAACTAGTTTGGATGAGTGCTGCCAGGCTGAGACATAATTTTAGGGGGATAGAACCTGACCGATGGCCGAGAGCCCTTTATAAAGTACTATTAAACAAACACCAAAATCATAAAGAGGAAACTAGCTAATTGCAGCAGGGAATCTTGTTATAAAATGACCTATATATATGATTATGAGAGAATCGGAGGCAGTCATGCAAGTTAAGAGACGCCATTACCGTCAACTCAATCGAAGAGAGAAGGTTATTTGGAGAAGAAGACTGGCTCTACTTTCAGTGGCTGGAATCATTGAATCAGAGACTTCCGTCGAAGAATAAAGCAAGCGGAAAACAGATGCTGCATCCGCATCTTTATTTATTAAGTATTAGTTTATTATTTGAGTATATTAGAAAAAGAAAAAAAACCAAAAAAACCGTTAAATAGAAAAATTATAAATAAAGACCCATGATATTATTAGCATGGTTTTAATAATAATAGTATGGGTTTTGATAACAATTATTTGTAAACAGGTCCCTATGTATAATTTTTCTATTTCAGGTCTGTTTTTGTCATTTTTCTTTAAAAAATTTTGTTAAGTTATTTATTTGTTACAAATATTTGTTAAATTTCCTAAAGTATTCTTTTAATTATTATTATCTTTGGATGAAAACTTTCTTAATATGTATAATGGATAGGGATACTTTAAAAAAAGAATTATAAATTTGAAAAACAAAATAGATTAAAGTCTTATATTTAAAACTAAATATAATTCTCAACTAGCTCTTCTATAAAATATTAAGAGTAGTATAAGAACTAGACAACTAATTTACAAGTATTAAAAAAATTAATTAAAATTATTTGTAACAAATGTGTCTTAGTTTTCCTAAATTATGCTATTTAATCATGTGTATTGGAGTTATTTTTTTAATTAGAAGCTGTTAATATGTGCAATTGATAAGAGCATTTTTAGCAAAAAAATTATAAATTGGAAAATAAAACGGATTAAAATATTATATTTATAGTTAAAATCAACAACTTATTTAGCTTTTATATTCAAGATAGGATTGGATTGGAGGCAGTATATCATACTATCCGCTACGATTTTACCGTGTTTTTTCACTGCTTACGATCCGTTAGTTATATTATCTCCAATAATGATGATCCGCTCGTTTATATTAGGCATTTTGTAAATGCACAAAATTTAACGGATTATTATCGGCAAGTTAAAATGCATGAGAGGATAGAAAAATTCGAGAACTTCCTCGTAGGGAGGTTTATTTTGCAATTTTTTAATGCTATATTTGGTTTTCTATTTTTGCCAAAATCCCTACTTCACGTAGAAATACCATAGTAATTATTTTTTTCAGAAATAATTCTTTTAGGAATAATGACAAAAAAAAAGTTGGAATTTTGTAAATGCCAAACAGAGAATGTCAACAAAAGTTTATTGTCATTTACAAATTCAGACCTGTAAATACTAAATAAAATTGTGCTACCAAGTTTAATTTGGGATTTGCAATTTCAACTTCTTCTTCTGTCATTCTTCCATTTTTTTATCTTTTGTTATCCTTTTCCTCCGTGTATTTTTTTCTATTTTCATTTCAAATAGTTTTCCGCAGGAACTAAGGTACATGCATTTTTAATTACTTTTGTAAATCAGATATAATGAAATATTTTGACAAGTAATTAGTAGCAGCAAAGTACGCTGGCAACAGAAAAAAATAGTAGCAGCAGAAGAAACTTTCGACTTTCGAGTACTTGGATGGTTTATGCATTGACTTAGCTTCCCGGACCGTCTATGACGATTCTTTATGCGCATGCAAAAGTACATGTTATTTTTAGATACCATATTCAGTCCTAATTATAAGAATCAGTTAACTAATTTAAAGAGATTAAAGAAGTAAATTGAATTAGTTATTTGTCTTAAATAGGTGTTGTCTTTACTAAAAT